TAGAACTATAAAACTGTGTGACTTCTATCACTGAGAAACAACCATAGGGTATTTTATCTATTCTACTTATACCAGAGAACACATACCAGAGTAATTCATTTATTTCTTCCTTCAGGCATTCATTCTCAGGATGAATGCCACCAAACTGTGTTCTAACAATAATAATGCATAAAGAAATAAGGTGATGCACTCCCAACCCGTCTGTAACCATTAACTGTTCTAGACAGAAATTCAGAAGAAACAGATTAAAAAAATAAAAGGCCAATTAACATGTAGCTTCTCATCACAAGATGAAACAATGAACATTCAAGCATTTCATTAGACACCATGCTGATTTATGAGTGAAGACAGCATGTTCTTCAAAGGTGGGGATGAGGTGAAAAAAGCACTTGTATTCATGAGCATTTAACTCCCAGCAAGTAGGAGTTTGGGGTTTAAGGGATCTCACCCTTGTCTCTCTGCCTATAGGAAGCAAGACAACAAAGAAGGAAAAACAGTATTGCAGGAGTGTCTTGCCCTCACACTCCTACATATTTCCCCACTCATTCAGTAGTGCCAGCGATGTCAGAAGAACAGAACACACGGCACAGAACACAGAGCAGACATATACAGATGGATCTGTGTATTAATGTTAAAACAATTCATGGTTGTGGAGAGCAAAAAAATTAGACCCAGCACACAGAATGGCTGCATTTACTTAAAGGGAAACAGCATTAGTTTATTGTATATCTATGGCTCAGAAGGAAATGTCATCTATATTGCTTTCTCAGTTATACATGCAAAAAATTCCATGGAGGTCCCTAATGGCCACATACTCACAGACCTCTAGGCACGCTTTCCTCTACAGACAGGAGGGCAAGTGGATATCTCCCTTATTTCCTAGAGCCTTAGCATTTCCTCAGTGCTCTCCATCATAATTAACTCTGGGGTGTAGAGAAGTGTGAGAGCTTGACTTGTTACTAGCTGCTACTGTGCTGCAGACCTTCTCCCCAAAGACCTACATTTCCTCAAAGCCCTGAAGTACAGGGATTTGGGGACTCTTGTGACCCTGCAAAGAAGGGTGTGTCACTCTCGTTTTTTTAATTGTAAGAGGGGGGAAATGCTGCATCTCCACACTAACAAAAATGCACAGAGGTAGCAGCAAGAACAACTGCTTGCTTTCCAAAGTTCTGGGAGGGAAATGAACCTTCATTGATGCATTCTAGCTAATGCAGGCAACTAATGCTCACAACCAGTAGGACCTGTACTGATGACATACTGACTAGGCCTGTGGGTTATAAATGCATTAAATATATTTTAAAAGGTGTAGGTAGTTATGTAAAACCACCACCTTGGAACACATTAAAAAGCAGCAAGCCCAGGCTCCCACTCAGAGTACACTTGTCAAGAAGCTTCACCCGGTCCCAACTGGCAAGTGTATGGAGGACATGTTTTCAAACACTCATAGCATACTTGTATGTGTGAAGAGGCCCGCAGGGTACACACACAACAAAACAGTAGTTCTACGTATAAGCTCCAATGTTATCAGAAGGAAACCCATGGCCAGAAAGCAGCACATATTTTGCAGTGATCACAGGTTATAATCACAGAAAGCACTCAATATGTATTGCCATTTATCACCTCCATATTTGACTTTTGCCTTGACTTGAATGCTCTCTTTTCTTTAAAGTGTATTGGCTTTTAGCAGAGATCTGATATTTGACTGTCAAATACCACATGCACTGCTGGCAGCTTGTTGGTAACCACTTGCCTGGTTATGAGCAAGGCTTACCTCTATGCAGGGAAGCCTGATAAAAACTACTGCTTTTAGAAGACAGATGACTAACATTAGTATGTGCAGGCGGGTGGGTTAGAAACATTTTTGTGATCTTTTGCACAATTATATGCAAGTAAACATTGTATATTTAAATGCTTCTTAAATTTAAAATATATTTTGATAAATCACTGATAGCTTTGTATACATAGTAACATAGCTGCTGCTCAAAATTATTCCAAAAAGAAGGCATTATTTAAAGCCTGTTCTTTTAAATTTATGTTTGATGTTAACAAATAAGCCTGTCCATCAAGTTCAGGGGCAAAATCACACAAACAGCAGCATTGAGCAGAGAAATCCACCTAGGGCTCAAAGACCCATTTCTTCTGCCAACCAACTCAAGTGTATGGATGGGCATCAATTGGGAGTAGGGAAGAATGAAAAAGGAAGGCATGGGAAACATGCACAGATCCTGTTATACTTCTTCCACACATACCACAGCTGAGGAGAAATGGGGCTCTGTTGAAACCCATGGGGTTTTGCAGTTCAGTATATATTGTGTCCTAAGCCTAACTTTGTTACAGCAAAATTCAACCACTTCTCTTCCTCTATGATAAAGGATAGCCATGGCTATTTTAAGGCTCTCGGAACTGCCAGAGTATTAGCCATCTTACATATGAAGATTCACGACACGTTAGCTGCAGAAACAGCGATAAACAACTTTATGTCAAGTCCTTGATTTTTTGACAAGAACGGAACACTTTTTATTGTTCTTTTCTACAAGCAATTAAAAAACTGGAACTCTCTCAGAGCACTAGCATTAAATGGGAAGCTACCTTGGCTGAACATGTTATAAAAACCACTCTACTTAAGCCACTATATGAATTTGTAAATAATGGTTTTGGGTTGTATAATTAAGTTAACTGTTGGACAGCTCTTTTAATTTTTACTAGAATGCTTCCACAGTGCACGACAGCTTTGAAAACATAGAAGAGCGAGCTTGGGAAATTTGGGATTCAATTTCTGAATATTAATAGCTTGCCACAACTTTGCAGTAAACCTTCATGCAGTGGGTTATCACTATGGATTCAATCTAAATAGAGTAAAATATTTGAGACAAGAGACTACACTGAAAACAGTGCTCCAACTATTAAAACTTTGCAATCACGGCATGATTTCAGAAAGCATTATTTTAGACACAAAAATTGCCTTGACTGTTCAGAAGTGACAGAAATGCTACATGGACAAAAAATAGTGAAGTCAACAATGGATGAGAAGAGGCATAAGGTAGGTGAATAATTGAAGCCACTTGACACCAAGTCACAATATTGGTGCACCTAGTCTAGGTCTATCTGGTTTTCCAATTGCTCAGAGGCAAATATTTCCCCCACTATTGCTACCTGAGTTAATTTAACTGCAGATTCCAGCAACTGAAACTAGGATCATCTACAAAGCAGTACTTCATTATTGCTTTTCTCCAATCAGAGATGCCAGATTTGGGAGCTTTTTGTGCACTGCATGAGAACTGGAGAAATATGAATAATGTCGGGCAGGACATAACAAACCAAGGGCAACCCAGTCAGATGGGTAGGGTACAAATTAACAACAACAACTAATAACCATTTGATAATGCACACAAAGGGGTTCAATTCAGGCCTATTTCAAAGTCAATAGGAAATAAAAAAATTATTAGAGCATTTAATGGCATATGATGGCATCTACACATGTAAGCTTCCAGTGACTGTGCAGTACAATCCTTTGAAATTTTACTCAGAAGTCTCACTTAAACGGGGCTTACTTGAGTCTTGTAAATAATCCTCCCCCTCCACCTCAAGTTACTAGCTTGCAAAAACTTTTACTCCTCTCACTTTCCCACATGTAACTCCTGCTTGCATATGGGTACTTGGCTAGTGCTTAAACAAGGGATTACTTTCCTTAATATTCCAGGCTTAAAGAACTTTCAGAGAGCACTATCAACTCTGATAATTACTCGCACTAAATAATGCACATTCTCTGGCTCCATTTTCTTAATCTGAAACCACTTGCCGCTTAACACACACAGAACACAATCTTATCCACACTTAACTGATTTCAGTGGGACTTCTCAGTAAAATTTCAGAGAACTAGCCTATCAATTTAGTCCACCAAAGTCAGTCTACAGCAGCTACATAGAGTACGGTATGGTCAAACCTCTTTTCGAGTTATAGTAACAGGGTGAAAAAGAGAAGACTTCCCTCTTCTATGTGATATCTGAAATGTTTAAAGTAAGTTCCACCCTTCAGTTTGAGTGGGATTATTAAATACTCTTATTACAGTATTAAACTACACAGAGAACATATGTCTATTGCATTTTAGTTTGCTGAATTTACGGGCAATCTTAGATATTCAGAAGTTAGTGCACCATTTTGAACATGTTTCAAGCTTCTTGGATCTACAAGGCCAGAACAGCTTATTATGACTATGCAAATAACACTTGAAATCCAGGGCTAGCCAGAACGGCTTGCTATACAATATAAATGTAAATCTCAGGGTCACAATTCAAATTCTGCTTGCACCAGGCTGGGGGGCTCAATTAAGCAGAGATCTTGCTTCCTGCAGCCCTGCCAGCCTCTGCCTGCAGAGTGACATCGGCATTGCTCTGCCAGTGTGGTTTCCCATTTTGCCTGCTAAACTTGTGGGCAGAATTGCTGCTGGTGGGGAGGGGGACTTTCTGGGATGGCAGACATTCAAGACAGAGGGCTGAGCAAGCCTTACAGCTGTCATGTGACAGCAGCAGGCCTGATTGCCAGCCAGTATGTGCTGCAAGGCTGCAGATGCTGCAGTGGCCCTGTTGGACAGTGCCCAGGGCTTGGATTTCACCCTACTACGGTTTAAAATGTATAGAAATAAATAACATATTTGATCCATTAAGTTTATCTACTATTTTAGATTAAAATATTATCCTTGGAAAAGGAGACGAGAATATTACCAGCAAGCTGATAGGCACCCAGAGACAAATTTAATGGTGCCCACTTAAAATATGCACAAGATGCAGAAGAGGGCATATCACTCATGTGAGTTTATGCGCTTTTAACACTGAGGCTACCCTCAGGATGTAAAGAGTCACTTAGAATTGGAAAATCTGGAAGATTTCTCATTACCATGCAACCAAGGCTACCAGGCTGGCTTCTGCACATCATTTCAGGAAATTATTGTCACTGTCCAGAACACCATTTCACTTTGTTTAAGGCAGTAGGGTCACACTTACTTTCTCTGGGCTTTTTCCTTCTTGGCTTTAGTCCGCTTCTTCCGGGCTTGCAATGCTAGAACTAGGAAGAAACAGAGAGAAGAAGAAGAAGAAGAAGAAGAAGAAGAAGAAGAAGAAGAAGAAGAAGAAGAAGGGGTGGGGCAAGAGTCAGTAAGCTTTTGTTCAGGGTGAAAAAGAAGGGCACATTATTTGCATCATCAAACCTATCCGGTTTATTTTGTTCTAAGATTAACCCCCTCTTCCCTAGAAGCAGCATTAATCCAAGAACAAACCAGATTCGTGAGACACGTGCTCATAATAGACTCATTGGACCCATATTTATAATATTTTTTTTTAAAATCCCCAAACACGTTACTGGAGGAGACAGGCGATACTGTCACCCTCTTTTATCTCATACGAGGTAGCGGGGTGGAGGCCGAGGAAGGGAAGCCTAAGGGCCGGACATTTGCCAGGATACCCGAAGACTGGCAGTTAGGATCCGTGAGAAGAACTCTGCGAATAACAGCGGGACCTGACAAAAGGAAACCGACGCCCGATCTCGTGTGAATTGGGGCAACAACCAGGGACGCGGAGGAAGCGAGCCGCCAAGACCCAGAAAGCTGAAGCCTGACTAGAAGAGCCGAGGGGCCGAGGGCGGCGGGCGGCGGGGGGGGGCGGCGAGGGGCGGCAGCGGGGAGGGGTGAGGCTGGCGGGGAGGCGGCGGCGGGGCCAGGCGCACTCACCTTTCCGCTCCATGGCGGCTAGAGACAGCAGCCCCCGCGACCCCCCGCGCGTGCGCTCCAAGGATAGTTCCTGCGCCTGCGCTGGCCGCGGGCGAGCCGGTCGGCGCGTGCGTACGACGGGTATCTTCGCGCGCCGTTGCGCGCGCCACCAGATCTCCTCGCCGCCGCCGCTGCTGCTGCTGTCACTTCCTCCCGAGCTGGGGCTCCCGGGGAAGGCCACTCCCCCTGGCTCTTCCAAACGCGTGCGGCGCCGCCCCCTGCTCTGCGTGACAGGCAGGAGCCGGAGCCGGGCGTCAGGCCCCTCGCCCGCCTCCCCTTGTCCCATGGGCGGAGCGCATGCGCCTCGCGGTGTCCCAGCCCACCGCTCGCTTCCCCGGGGCTTCGCCGGATTTAACTAGGGCCAAGGGAGGTGGGGGCGGCGTAAAAAGTGGCCTAGCGCGTATACAAGTAACTGCGTGTGCTGTCGCCGGAGATGGGATTGTGACGTGCCCGCCACGCGTTCTGGGTCCGGGCGGGTTTTCCAGCTTCACGCGTAGCCGGCATGGGAGGGAGGGATGTGTTCTGCTATGGACCCCTTGCGCCACCAGGTTGCGCGATGACTCGCAGCAACTGAAATTAACGTTCGAATTCTCGAATTAAACTTTTTTCTTTTCTTTTCTTTTACAATTTACATGACTTTGTACAAATGCGTGGCTTACTCCGTGGGAACTTTTAGAAGTTATTTTAATGTATGCAGCTTATTAAAAAATGAATTTAGTGTACACATGTTATCCTCAACAATGGTTAGAAGCCAACAGTTGGGTGCTACCAGTTCTATTTGCAAGAAACAGGAAAGGCAACTGGTGCTGCGTACGTGCAACAAGCAACGTTGCATCTGGATGGTGAATGAAAGCAGCCTAGCTTGTCACTGCAGATACAAATAGCTTTCTGACTAGAAAGATTGGACAGTCCTGCAAAATGAAGCCAAAAATGGCTTATCTTCTGAGTTTATGCCAACATAAGACCCAGCATAGGACTCTAAGCAATAAACGATAAGAGGTCATAGCTAATTTATCTGGCTTGTCAGGGGAAAAGGGGGCGTGTGTAGAAACAGTACGAAGGCAAAATTTACGTCCATTGCTGCACGCACTTTTGCCTCAGGCTCTGACCACCACGAAAATGGCCCCCAGAAGTTGGTCCAAGAAGGGAATGCAGCCCATGAGCTGGAAAACGGCTCATCATCCCGCATTAACCAATAACAAGGAAGACTGTGTTGTTAGCTACCACAATTTACTAGCAGAGGACTGTAACTCAAATGCTTGCTATGAATAGAGTTGCTATGAAGAGAATTCCAACGATTATTTGTTAACGAACATTATGTACAACTGCAAGCACAAAACAGCTAATGCGCTTCTTCCCCGGGGGCACAGAAAACACGGGAGGAGGAAGTCACAAGGTGGCGGGTGTGAGCCTTCCTTCCGAGAAGGCACCTGTCCAAGTTCCCGCTGCCTTTAGCAGCAGCACCTGGAAACCTTAAACCCTGGCCAGCATCACGCTCCACCCTTCCTCTTCTTCCTCCTCCTCTTTCCTTCTCGCCTCCTTCCAGATCTCGCGAGACGCTCCCCTCTTTCTGGTTGCGCTCATCATAGGGCGCTGGAGCTGGGTTCCATATTGGGGCATCGCCTCAAAGCTCTTTCCGCGCCGTGGGTCTCGCGAGACCTCTGCAATCGGGGACTTAGGAAGAGGTCGGGAGAAGTCAGGCGGCAGCAGCAGCAGCTCCTCCTCCTCCTCGTCGTTGCTGCTTGGCTTTGCCCCCTCCCGCTCCGCTCAGTGCAAGCTCTGCTCTCCTCAGGGGGACCCCTCGCGCCCACCTGTTAGGCTCCCTGACTTGGGGCTGTGCAGGAGGCCGCGGGGTTGCGACCCGACAGACGGCGGGAGGCAGAAGAGCCCCGCTTGGCCTGGCCTTCCCCTCCGGCCGCGGGGCGGGGTTGGGGTGTCGGCGGCGGCACGAGGCCAGTTACTGAGGCGGCCGCTGGGCGCGAGCGACCTCTTTACCCTCGGAGCAGGAAACCCCCTTTCTTCGAAGGGGGAGGAGCCAACGGTTCTGCTCGAGGGTCTTCCCCCCCCACTCCCGGCCGCGCTGGGTGGGGCGGGCTCGGGGTCGAGATGACCCAAGAGCGGCCCAAGTTCTACCGGCAGGAGCTGAACAAGACGGTCTGGGAAGTGCCTGAGCGTTACCAGAACCTCTCTCCGGTGGGCTCCGGGGCTTACGGCTCCGTCTGGTAAGTTGCTGCCGCTCTCCCGGGGGCGGGGGGGGGAGGCTTGGGGAAACTTCGCTACTCGCACGCTCCCTTATCCCCCGCAGCCCTTCGTGCGTACGGGACAGCAGCCGCCACGAAGGCCTGTCATTCTGAATGGGATGATTGATTAGCTGGGAGATCCTGAAAGCGGCCTTAGAAGGCGGTGGATCTCGCATGTGTCCACACCCAGTCCTCCTTGCAAAAGGAAGTCGGTTAGATCCTGTGATTCCGAGGGACCGGCTCTCGGTTGCAAATACTAAAAGAAAAAGCGTTGCCTGTTTGGTTCTCTTGCACTGTAATGCTGGGGCAGTGCAAGTTAGCAGCAGAAATAGTAGAGGCGTTTGATGTACCGTACTTGTCGCTCCGTCTGCTGCAGTGCCTTGATCTCCGTCACTTCTTCCCGTAACCGCTATGAACTCATTCCCTACTTATTTGGGAACGCACAACCCGTGAAGTCCACTGTTGAGCAATGTCTCCAGAAGCAATCAAAATGTGCACCAAACAGTGGCTTTCTTCAAGTTCTCCAGTTTTCAAAAGGCATTATGTTAAGCATCTGATGCACGACCCTTTATTTTGCTTTGTGGTGCCAAGATTATTGGCTTTGGTAGGAAATGACTTCTTGATTATTTTAGTTGCATTTGGCTTGCAAACTGTTGGGTGTTTAATGAGGTTTGGTTTTTTAGCAGAATCTTGAAAACAAAGATAAAGCAATATTCTCAACACTGCACAATTAAATAACTTGTAATTAGTCATTATTTTTTGCATTTTTATTCCAGCACTCCTCGAAGAAGCTAAGGGTTATGTACATAGTTTCTTCCCCCACCCTTCTTTATTCTCACAAGTCTGTGAGGTAGGATAGGCTGGTATCTCAATAAACACCATGAACCTGGATCTCCCCCAGTTTCTTACACTGATCTTGCTGGGAATTGGAGTAGGGAATAAGAGTTTACTAGCAACTAGGGAAGATGTATAATGAAGAGGTTGAGTGCAAAGCTGCTGAAGGAAAAACAGCTGGCGAGGTGTAGCAGAGATTGGCAGGAGAGGAATTTGTGATTCACCTCCTCATGATGTCATAGGCACTATCCATAGATGTTTGACTTCACTACCACATTCCTCACAGCAAAATATGTATTACAGTTAGACTGCCAGGACAAAACATAGAAACTTATTCAAGAATCCAACAATAAATGGATGTTGTCTTGGCTACAGAACCCCTAAGCCTCTTGGGCTTGCCAATCAGAAGGTCAGCGGTTCGAATCTTTGCAACGGGGCATTCCTCTTGCGGGGCACCACTGTATATGGTGGGAAAAGCATTCTTTCCCTTTAATCAGCTTCTGCCAACCCAGCAGTTCGAAAGCATGCCATTGCAAGTAGATAAATAGGTACCACTGCAGCGGGAAGGTAAATGGTGTTTCTGTGCGCTCTAGGATTTGTCACAATGTCCTGTTGCACCAGAAGCGGTTTAGTCATTCTGGCTAAGAGATGTAAGTATTTTTGTATATAAAACAACATAACCATTGCAAGTTCAAGGTAGTCATAACTTCTTTGGTAACAAATACTTGAATTGTACTCATCAGACTACCAGCCTTCTGTGATAGTTTAGCTAGAGTTACATACCTTATATGAGCCACTTTGTTCCTCTATGCTAGCCCAGTCTCTGGCTTAACATTGTGTCCAAACCAAGGGTTGTGGTTTATTTCCTTCCAGACAAACACTATGATCTGTAGCAAAGGTTTGTTCTTGACTTGGGAGGAGCAAACTGGCTCATGTGATAACTGAAAACAAAGACTCAGACTGTGTATTTGTGTTCTTCTGCAGCTACATAGCACCGTTCTTTTAATTGTAGATATTAAGCCAATTTACTGCTTTAAACAAAACTCGAGAGTTCTTGTTCTGCATTTTTTCCTAGAAAAACATATCTTGATCTAAACTGTTTTATTATTTCATGTCTCGTTTGAAACAATATTTCACTTGCTTGTGTTTTGTCAGGTAAGAACAATATCATGAGACAAGTTCTCATAGGAGAAAACAATGAAATTTTGTTTTTTAAACACCTGCAACATAGATCCTGGTGGCCTCAGAAATTTGCATTCATTGATGACTGATAGGCAGGTGTGGTTCATTACACCATTGCCGTGGTAGGATAGGAATGTATACTGCAGAGTTTTGAAAGACCTTAGCCTTTTTGCTAGTTATTACTGCTGATACATCTAGTTATTGTAGTGATTAGTTTGCAGAATAATTAATGGTAATTCCACTGCTCTCTTTTTTTGATCACTAAGAATCAAGTTTTGTGCCTTGTATCCATTAAGCAAATACACATATATCTCCATTCCCTCTAATATCAAGCTCAGGTGGTTGAGTGCCCATCAATTTTGGAAGCAAAATGGAATTAAAGTAGTGGTCTACTTAGGCACACAGAAGTATATAAATCTAATAATATTAATAATACTAATGCTAATATATTTACAAACAACCCAGCAAAGTTTTGTGAGCTCTTGAGATGTTTGGCATGATTTATCAGAAAATGTATGTGTAAGGTCGGGGGATAAGAATTGACTTACTCAGACCATTAACAGTTTATTGCAGGTATCCCGGAGGAGGGTAAATTAGGGTTAGGTATATGATATTAGGTCAGAAAGTACCAACCACTCTACACTATACAGTGGTGCCTCGCAAGACGAAATTAATCCGTTCCGCGAGTCTCTTCATCTTGCGAAGCACGGCTATTAGCGGCTATTAGCAGCTATTAACGGCTTAGCGGCTTTAAGAAAAAGGAAACAAACTTGCAAGAACTCGCAAGACGTTTCGTCTTGCGAAGCAAGCCCATAGGGAAATTCGTCTTGCGGAACGACTCAAAAAACGGAAAACCCTTTCATCTAGCGAGTTTTTCGTCTTGCGAGGCATTCCTCTTGCGGGGCACCACTGTATATGGTGGGAAAAGCATTCTTTTCCCTTTAATCAGAATCACTATACTGTATAGCTATAAAATACAAAAGGGGGAAGTTTTGGGTGGGCTGGAAAAGCAAAAACAAGTTGTGCTTTTTTCTCATCATTAGAG